ACATATCGAGCGTGCAAAGCATTTTGGGGATTTATAATTGATTATTTAAAGCATTCGCAGATGTTAGAGTTAAAGCAATGCAAAAGGTGAACGTACACTAAACACGTATGCTGTTATTATAGCAAAATTCACATGTTAATTCCTTTAAATAAGCAGTGAGAAATAACCCATCATGCTTTGCACGCTCAATATGTGTATAATTTTGATGTCAACTATAATTTAACCGATTGGAAAAGGACCAGTAAAAACATACGACGCCCAATTTCAAGCGGCCCGTGCCAAAAATTCCTGTCCTGTAAATGTTCGTCTTCTATAAAGACTCTTATTCTCTTTCAGGGCAACAGTTAACAAAATAATAAAAATTAGAAATATCAAAATTGTTTTAATTTTCCAATCATTCATCACCACCATCGCAATAATGTACATGATGGTCCAGACCTCAAACATGGAACAAACATTCCCTTGGGAAGGTAAATATGTATGATGAAAGATGATTTGTCTGCTATCTTGTTAACGTATTTTGAACTCAATATACAATGAAGTTTTAGACTATAAAGTTAAACAAACTGATAAAGAGATTTCTGCGGTAACATTTTATAATTTGTTTTGAATGTGCGTCATGTGGCCTCTCGACTCGACGCAAAGGATATGAAATTAAATGATCCGTCTTACGTACTTTTGGGTGCACAATGATTAATTATCCAGCTCCTCTGCAAACGAATATGCTGATCAGCAAAATACAAAATGGAAATTTTTCACTAGTAGAATAAAGTTTTTTTATGGCTTATAATCAGAGCTAATTCTTTAACAGTCGCGGATCTAGGGGTGTGCAGAATAAATTACTATAGCTTATAATCGGAATCGCATTGGCAGATTTTAATGTAAAAATATTCTTTTAAAATCTATAACCAATAGCGTTGTCATTAAGCTGTCTTGAATTTAAAATTAAGCTGTGTAATTTATTCTGCACACCCCTATAGATCCGCCACTGTTCTTTAATGCAGAACGATGTCGACCTATTTTATCGGCATTTCTCCAGCAGTGCGTAAATCTTTATTAAGCCAGGTTTTCATCACTCAAGGACTTGTCGGCGATGCACTACGATCCATTGAAGTAGAATTTTTTCCATGGACAAAGCATTTTATGCATCGGTAACAAGCGATAACAGAGATCGCCGACCGTCTCAATCTGCGAGTGATGAAAACCATATTTTTGGCATGCATGCATGCATAATTATAGTATAATTATATTTTTCGCTAAAACTGCACTAGAGCACATGGGTGTTGCACGATGTCAAGGCTGTTGTAAGATAAGAAAAGAAAACCTGGATGCAATCGTCAATGAACCACAACTATCTGAAAAACTTCACAAAATGTCCCGAGCCATAAGAAGTTATGAGATTCCAGAGTATATTTTGAAAGTACTTCATGATGGAGAACGAAAACTCGAAGAGGTTGAAAATGAATTAGCAAGATTGAGACAGGTTAGCTCGAAGCGTATTTCCCGGGGCATATTCATGACTGCTCGGCTTCTAAGATTCCAAAGCTATGGAGCTTGTACAGTTGTACTATTCAGCTTATAATATAATATTCTGTATCTCAGTTTCTTGGATTGGAATCAATGTTTCCTCCTTTTCCCGCGGTTTATGAGATCATCACAGTGAGGGGAGGGATTAGCAAGAAGGAGATGCGGAGGTGAAGGGGGGGGGTTCTGTATTTATGAGTCTTAATGACTTGATTTCCTGCACTTGCGGTAAACGACAAATGGACAATTTAGCCGGCACGGAATATAAACAACCAGGTGTCAAAATGTATAAAAAATATTGCAGGTTTGAGATTTTACTATTTTCGTTCTTTTCATGCAGATGGATTTAAATCGTCTTTCTAAACTTCAACAACTCTTTATCGAAGAAGACACAACCACAGACGAAGACTTAAAACCAAAATCAAAACCAAAATAATAAAAAAACACATTAAAATCGTAATGCATGGGCAGTGGAAAAATGAGCATAAATTATTCTAAAATAAGAAATACCTAAATTATGATTGCATAGCATTGCAAGCCTTAGCATGTTTATTGACTAGTTTCTATAGAATTCTATATAGTTTTGTTCTGCATTTCACGCATGCAGATGTATATTATACGAAGAAAAAAATGTATAAGATTGCAGGGCTGTGTCCATATCGTGAATAACATGCACTACCATATTGAATCAGTTTTCGCACAATTGGTTTTAAACTGTGACAACATGAGCTTTTTATACAGTTTGCTTGCTAAGGTTTGGGATTGTAGTGCCGAAGCAGCCTTATAAATGCTATAACTTAATACAAACAAAAAGTTGGCTGTTTTAACCACGTTTGTTTTAAGCCAATATAGAAATTGGTTCTGAAAATCTGATGTCGGAGTGACCAAAACAATATAATTGCGCTGTTTTCGATTTAGAGTGTAGATCTAAAAAATTAAAAATAGTTTTACTGCATGGCTTGTACTGCATATAGGGCCAATATAGTTAAATACAGTAATCATATAAACTACAGATGAGCCAAATTTTAACGGTCTCTTTAACATTGAATTAAGTATACTGCAAAAGAGTTCTAACAAACATATCAGATATCATATATATCTCTCATTGATTGGTCTTTTGTTAACGTTTGATGATTTATCATCTGGGAAATATTTTCTGTTTTACACTAACAACTAGAAACATACATTTCTTTGGACATCAATATAGCTACATCAAGTTTATAGTAGCTGTGTCAAGACACAGTAGGGTGCATGAGTAGCCAATGACAGAATACTTCCGCGTCAAAAAAAAATCTAGGAGAATTTCAAAAATGTTAAAAAATATGAATTTTTTCAGTCTTGAGAAAATGACCCTGTCAAATTTTCGTGAAAAAAATGGTAAAAAAAAGGTAAGTAAACATGAGACTTTTAAAGGCGGGAATTTTTAAAACTTTTTTTGCTGACTGCTTAATTTTTAGTTTTTTTAGAAGACACATATTTTTAATATTTTTTTACTTGCCCTTTTTTAATTTTCAAGTACTTTTGAACGCGAGGATTTTTTTCTTTTTTTTATTTCTAATTATAATTTTTTTCAATTTACAGTCTTTCCTAAAGCCACAGGAGTCTTTTAACTGTTTTAAAGCTTCCAACTGATCTTGCCGAAATTTTTCAGGCTATTTTTTGTGCATTGCCAAGCAACCCCCTTCCAAGGGCATTTCCCTTTTTGTCATTGGGGAGGGCGGATCCAAACTACGTTTACAACCTGGTAGGCTGTAGCCTTTAACCACTCGGCCACCGCATCTTGTCTTAATACCAACCTTGCAATATATACATTATCCCGGTGGCCCAGTGGTTAAAGTGGCAGTCAAGTCCGTTTTGCGCACGCGCGTGTTTTGTTTACATCGTGAACTATTATATATATTTTACATGACGTTTTCCGCCTATTACTTCCGGTTTTCACGAAATTTGAGAATGTTGAAAATTAAGCGCGTCTCTGTTATCAATTGTATGAAATTTGCATACTATACGGTGTCGATTTCATATCTTCTGATTTCTACACTGTTGGACAGCGATTTTTTTCTACACCGTTGAATTGGACAATATTACTTGTCGATATGGACGAAAGTTTGGACGTTGGGGATGCAGAGCGATTACAAATTGAAGGGATTGCCCAGGTCGCTAACTTAGATGATAATACAACGTGTTCCTGCGGTGGTATGTGTTTGCGCGAAATAGGACGAAATGCTTGCCCATGCAAAACGGCGAGACAGTATTGCAGTTTAGCGTGCCACGATGGACTATCGTTTACGTGTAGGAATCGCCGTCATTACATCGAAAGCGATTCAGATTCATCTGAAGAATACGAGGTAGGAAAAGTTTTAATGAGTTCTTCATGAGCTTCTGGATTTTGTTACACTGTAAATATTTATATATTTCCCTTTCGAATATCCCAGGACAATGAAAGTGAATTACAAGACGTGTCCAGTGACTCTGTCCAAACAAGGTCTAGAGGTAGATCAGCAAAACGTGTGCGAACTAGCGGGGCGAGTGGAAGCGAGGATGAAGGACAGGCCACCGAAAATCGAGGCAGAGGTCGAGGTCGTGGGAGAGGTCGAGGAAGAGGTCGTGGTCGAGGAAGACGGTCGGGCAAGAGTCGCGAAGAGAGTGTGCGGGGTAGAGGTCGAGAAAGTGGTAGGGGAGAGAGGTCGAGGGAGATTAGTCGAGGAAGGCGACTCTCAACAACGCGTTATGGCTCTGAACCACAACTGCAGGCATGTAAATGTTTTTGACATTGTTCTTTTAACTACAGAGTAAAATTATAGGCAATTAATTTTGAAATAAAATACAATTTCAGGACTTGGTTGCACAACTTGATGAGGCGCAGTAAGGAGATTGGCATTGGAACTCCTGAGAAGACAGCCAGCAGCGTTTGCTGACTTGGTTGATGGAGAGTTGGCAAACCCAGGAGGTGAGCAAGCTCCACCACAGCCTAACCCCCCACCAGCACAAGCTCCACCACAGCCTAACCCCCACCAGCAGATAGTCCAGACTGGTGCTTTTGTGGTTGTTGCATCCCAATGCCAACACAAGAAGAAAACAAATGTTGCTGCCGTAGAGTAATGCCTTGTATTACAACCAGTCCACTTTTCCTCCAACTGGTTTTGGATGGCAATGTACTAGACATTGCTATGAGGTACAGAGAGGATGTACTTGTAGCTGACCATGCAAGAAATAACGAAAACTTTCGTCATGCTGCTTATAGACAGTACGTTTTATGGCAATATGGACGTCTAGGCAGAGGTAACAGAGTTGTTGTGCCAAGTTGCTGTGTGCTGAAAATAAGAGCGAGGTATCCTTCACCAAATGGATTGTATGTAGGATTCAGGCCAGCTAGACTTTGAAGACTATGTAAAAACTACTGTAATACTGATATTTTGGCAAGTTAATGAGTACATAATCATGTGTAGTAAATTATTGACACACTTCACTAGTGGCATGGCATGACCTATGCAAATTTATTCATTCACTATAATTTATAAGATACTTGCACACAATATTATGCATGCCTCCCCTACCAATATTTAAATTCCCACAAATCATCTAAAATTACATATATATAGTCCATGGATGTGTGACATCAAGTTATAGTGTCACAAGTAAGGTATTCCCTCATATCAAAACCTTGTTTTGTGTTGTCTCAGAAGCTCTTCCATTGGAGGCTGGGGTACCACAGCAATATTCCTGGCAATGTTCCGGGGGTCATCTGGAGCAAGACCTAACTTCTGTGTAACATGGCCAGGTGTTGTTCTTCTTTTTTCAAATATTGCAGTGATCAATTCTGGCAAATATTTGTATTCCTTTGGCTCAAGGACTGCAACAGGGCACCATTGCTTTGTCCTTTTACTGTAGTGTGCTTTATATCTAGAATGCATTAAAAATTCTGATTAAATCATACCATTCCAACTCATCTCAAAAGGTGGCATAATACCTGGGTAGAATAGACAAAACATTATAAGGGCCTTGAGCACCAGGTGAGTTAATATTTTATTAACTGTCAATATAGGTAACATTATAATTCACAACAGCAAATCAAAAAGTTTAACCCAAACTTCAACACATGTAAGAAAATCTCTTGAATGACATGTCACATTAATGAAGAGAAGTACAATAAAACCAACCTTGGTTTTCCATCTAATGTCTTTGCAACTTGTCTTGTTCTGTGTTTATTAAAGTCAATTGCTGCCAGTTGATTTCGCATCTTATATCCAATTAAGCTTTAAATTTAAAAAAAGCAACTTTTAGATAGCCAAGGATATTTCAGGAATTCACCAAGTGTATACAACACATGAGCTCATGACCAGTGAGCCCATATAATTTCAATATAACTTACGTATATGATTGACGTTTTGCACAGTACATCAACAAATGGTTGTGGAAGGATTCCAGAAAACCTGTATGTCTAAAATATCAAAATAAAGTACATATACAAGTGCAAACTGAGAGGAATTGCATCATACTTGGAATATTATGTGAGCTACAGTATATCTTATTTTTGGCTACATCTCAAAAAAGCCTACCAGATAAACAATAAAATATCCAAGAACTAGTATTGCATTTATGTATCATAATAGTGGGTATCTGTATGGCAATTGTAATTACCTAAATCTGGTGTAATATGACATTTCATTCAATAGTCGCTTGTTCAGCACAATGCTTCTCAAAGCTTTATGCGATGAAGAGTCCTTTGTCAGCCATGGTTTTGCTCTTTCCTCTTCTCTTAGATCACCATGGCCACATTTCCCATCTGCTATGCCATCTTTCAATGCCCATTCATGTTCAATCAACAACATGATGGAGAATGCCTATCCATATATCCTATTGAAAAACAAATTATTTGGATTAACATTAGGTATGGTACATATGGATAGTAGATAAACATAAATACCATTTGTGTCCATTCAAAAGGTAAATATTGCACCATGCACCATTTTATTAATTTCATGAACACCAGCAAAAGGTTTGAAAATTTCAAATAATAACATACTTTCAAATTATCAACATTGCTACCACAATTGCGACTGGAATACCAAAAGTGGTTTCTCACAGACGCAATCCACAAAGAAAGATCTTCATTTCCTTTTTCATTGGCAGCCTAGGTTGATAAGCATAACCAAATGTCTTAGGTACCAAGCACAGAATGTACAAAAAGGTACACAATAACCTCATTCTCATAGAAGTTAAATACATACAGAAATAACTTTTTTCCCAATTATTTTAGCACCATGCCAAACATCTCTTTGATGCACAATGTCTTTATACTTTGCAGCATTTTCTAAAAAAAAAACATATGTATGGTTAGGAAATCAGCAATTTCCACACAATATGTTATTTGAGCATCATTTTATACATTTTTGAAAACAAATAGGGTGACATAAAAGACATAACCAAAGCAACCACCTTTGATAGCATTTGACAAGGTTTATAAAGAAACAGTGCAATGAAGAATACTTACTCATTAATGCACCAATTTCCAAATGGCCATCAGTAACAACCTCTTTAATAATCATTGTTGATTTTAATAGATTGTCAAGCCCTCTTTCAAATCCAATTCTTTCCATGTTTGGACTTTTCCTACCCTCCACTTCTCTCACCTCAACAAAGTTGATATCTAAAATGCACTTGGAATCCATTTCTGCAAAGGTGTAAGTGCAATACTGTGCACAATGTCCAGGTGAATCATTACGCCCATCTGAACTGAGAACAATATCCTTATTTTCACGCTCTGCCAACACGAATTCTTTAATTCCTCCCAATAGCTGTTAACTGCTGGAGCTATATATAAATTCTGGTATTGGTTGTACAAGTTTTTGGATATAAACTGTACATTCATGACTTGGAAAAGAAATCTGATCTTGGTATATGAATTGCCAGAAAGAGGTATTGCAGATGCCAAAAGCAAATTTCCAGCACGAACACCTTCACAAGTTGGTTGGGCAGCCCATCTGAAATGAATTGGTTCATCAATTTTAGAAGTCTTCAAAATGATCAACATAAACTTTTATCCATTAAAGTGCCAGGTTACTTGGTTGTAAAATATCATCATAAATACCGGTACCAAAAAATGAAAAGTTGGAAATAGACATACCTCCCACCAAAGTGGCCAGCAGAACAACCCCAATTAACAACTAGGCATGTTCCAACAAATGAATTCCTGAAATTCAATGGACGACTACATCCAACTCTTGTACAAACAGGACCATGCAGTGTCTTCAGTAGTTCCAAAATTATTGTGGTTGATGCCAAGCATAACTCTAGTTTTGGAACATCAGTGGATGGTATATGACGAACAAAACTTTGTTTGCTATTTTTTGGGGCTTTTTCAGTGCCATCATCATCACCATCATCACAATCATCATCATCATCAGCATCATCATCACTGTGACCATTGATTGTGGTATCTAATACCTCTTCTTCCAAGGAAACCTTATCAATGTCATCAATTCCAACCCTATATAATAGTATATAAAGCTCTATAGTCAAGTGATATATGCTATATTGGGTAGTCATTACATTTTATGTGATAAATTGTGATTGGTTGTTAAATCATCAAATTATAGTTTATAAACATACATTGGATGTTCCAATGATATTTGACTATTGTCCTCCAATTCACTATCATCAGAATCAATAGCTGACAGTGTTTCTTCTTCATCTACAGTTTGTGTCCTACAATAATTAGCAGAAATAACAATGTTATAATCTAATTCCCATTGGGTAGTAATTACAATATACATCGACATGTTCTTTTATTATTACTCAAACTTGGGTATTGAGCGTGAATGTATGATTTATCGCTGGTACATACATGTATAAGAATCAAAACACATTTGTCAAAAAATACCTTAGTGCGTCTGTAGACCCGAGTAACAGACGTCTCCGTTTAGTAGCGACGGGAGGTAAAGATGAATGCCTCCTTGTATGAATAAGCGGGGTCGATGATGAAACTAAAAGGGAAAATATAATAAAACATGGGTTACCTATCACCATTCATTTAAAGACCTTGTTTAAAGTGACATTGAATGTCGATATAAAACTTTACTTGGGCTAATGGCCATAGGCATTGCTGACAAATCCGCAGCTCTGCTTTCAATGTTTGTCTGTGTCTCCGCGTCACTAAAATAAATTGGTTCAGATTCAGAAGAACGTAATTTATGTATATGCGTTTCCAAATTATGAATAATTCAAATTTCTCACCTCGAAATACGGGCACCTTTTTCGTAATTATCTAAAAGCATTTCAGCCAGTTGTTTGTCTGTCTTCAAGTCCAGCTCTTCTTTTAGAGATCGCCAACGCTGAAATTGCTCGTAAAGAGCTACTTTCGTCGAATCTCGTTTAGCGATGTAATCCTTGCGTTTAGTCTTTGCATCTTCGCTGCTTGGGAGGCTAAAATTCGCAGAGCTTTCGGCACTAACGCGTGAAGAGCTTTCGGAGTCCTCCATGTTGAACGCATGTGTTTTGTGTCAGCTTGCTCCTGACTAAATGCGCATGCGTATAGGGATATAATTCGATTAAAATTCCTTTCTGTGGGCCCACAGAAAGGAATGTGCGAACATGCGCAGAACGGACTTGACAGCCACTTTAAGGCTACGGCCTACCAGGTTGTAAGCGTAGGTTCGAATCCTGCATGGGAAAGGTTCAATTTTTTCCCACCGAAATTACTATTTAATTTAAGATTCTTCGAAAAGGATTAGTTCAAATAGAGAACAATAGCTTTTGACAAATGATGTGGTGGTCTAGTGGTTACGACGTTGGTCTCCAACCCGGGGACAGGCGTTTCAATTCCTGGCAGTGCAAAAAATTAGCTTGAAAAATTTCGGTGTGATTTGGAAGCTGTAAAAGACTCAAAAGACTCCTCGACCTTTAGGAAAGACTCTAAATTGAAAAAATTGAAAACAAAAAAAATTCTCGCGTTCAAAAGCACGTGAAAATGAAAAAAAAGCGCAAGTAAACAAAAATTAAAAACATGTGTCTTCTGATTTCTGAAAAGACTGAAAATTAAAAAACGTCAGAAAAAAAAATAAAAATTCCCGCTTTTAAAAAACTCATGTTTCCAAATTTAATTTTTTTTCACGAAAATTTGACAGGGTGATTCTCTTGAGAGTGAAAAAATTTAATTTTTTTCACTTTTTTGAAATTCTCTTAGATTTTTTTTTCGACGCGGAAGTATTTTGTCTTGGGCTACCTGTGTCTGTCTTGGGCAACCTGTGTCTGCTTGACACAGGTAGCCCAAGACAAAATACTTCCGCGTCGAAAAAAAAATCTAAGAGAATTTCAAAAAAAGTGAAAAAAATTAAATTTTTCACTCTCGAGAAAATCACCCTGTCAAATTTTCGTGAAAAAAAATTGAGGTAAGTAAACATGAGTTTTTTAAAAGCGGGAAATTGTTTGATTTTTTCCGTCTGACTTTCTTCATTTTCAGGCTTTTTAGAAGACACGTGTTTTTAAAACTTTTTTTACTTGTGCTTTTCTTTTAATTTTCAGGTACTTTTGAACGCGATAATTTTTTTTGGTTTTTTTATTTCCATTTTTTTTTCAATTTACAGTCTTTTCACAAAGTCCGATAAGTCTTTTCACTGTTTTACACATTCCAAATCACAGCGAGATTTTTCAGGCTAATTTTGTTGCATTGCCAGGAGTTGAAACGTTTGTCCTCGGATTGAGAGACCAACGTCTTAACCACTAGACCACCGCGTCATTTGTCGAAAGCTATTGTTCTCTATTTGACCTAACCCTTTTCGATGAATTTTAAATTAAATAGTAGTTTCGGTGGGAAAAATCGAACCTTTCCCATGCAGGATTCGAACCTACCCTTACAACCTGGTAGTCCGTAGCCTTAACCACTGGGCCACCGGGCTAATGTATATACGGCGAGGTTGGTATTAAGACAAGAAACGGTGGCCTAGTGGTTAAGGCTGCCTACGA